TTCGAAGAAATTTAGACGAGTAACATCCGTCAATCCATAATCTTAACCACAACCCTAACCCTAACCCGAGCCCTAAATAATCGAATTCACGTTTTACCAGCCTGTCTTACTGGGCCGCGCTCAGCCTGTCTGCTGTCCACTGTCATTCCGCCTAATCTCTATTCTATGTTTATGAACATAATAGCCTGAGGTCCCCAGGTAACAGCCGGTCACGTGACCAAAACGGTTTTTTGCCCATAACTGTCCAGGGAAGCATTTTAACCCTACGTCATGGGGGTGATTCGGAATCAGCGTCCAAAAATACACCGATCCAGATCACTTTCATGCCTAAAGGGCCTTCTCACAAGAATTTTCTTAAAATTTGGGCGAGCGATTTAGTTGTATCACGTTGCGACCCCCACGGTCGTTTCACTATAGTGGGTGTCAAGTAATTTGCGAGCCGCATGGCACGAGAAATCTCAGGTGCAACTGTACGAAAAGAACTCGCGTGCGCGAAGCGATAATCTCAGTGCTAAATTATTACTGCGTGTACTGTAAAGTCACATTTACAAAGTTCCAGACTATTTGATGTTATGTGTTAACTTTTTTGAGGGTGTGATCGCTATGTTGACAAAAAGCTTATCTCTGGGCTCTGGCTTTTTAAATTTTTTGACTTGTAGCACTTTCTTAATCAATCAATTATCATCTTCAATTATCATCTTGAGATTTGATAATCAAGGTCAAACATCTGCTCAATACCTTGACAAGGCATGGAATGGACGATTCGAAACGTGCGCGCATCAATTATTCTTATTTGCTTACATGGGGACCCTGGGGTTTACTGTATAAATACTTAAGTCTTGGTATTGAGACTATTAAATCAGTTAAAAGCCATAATTTTAGTCACAATATTTACAGAATGGAGCTTCCAAACTAACCACATAATTCAAATTTGTATTATTGGTATCCTAAGAATAATACATAATATGTAACAGAACTTAAATTCATCTGTATAATAAACTATTAACTAACAATATTACATACGTCATGCAGTGCTTCAAAGAACCATGTTTTTGAAGAAGTTTCAAAGTTAATATTTGGTTCCATATCGGGTAAAACTATTAAAGGGCATGATAACAGGAAAATAGACTGATATCATACTGTTTCCGGTCTATTAGCCAAATCTCTAGACGGGTACTCTGTTACTTGTCGTTTGTGATAACATAAAAAGGTGGTATGTGGTAGATATTTATACAGCATAGTCTACAATCTAGATCTTTAAAACGAAGTAAGAGTTATCACGCCTATATTAGTCGTTTATCTCTCCGTTATATCTACAATTCTAACATCATTGGGCAGCATGAGACAAGCGGAAAAAAAAACATACGAATAGATTTCAAGCTCATAAAAGATCGTTGTTGGAGACCGGAGATTTCAAAACTAAAGTTTGATAGTCGAAGTTCTCCTGTAAAATTTGAGTCCAGGTAGAGCACTTTCGTTCGACAAAGTCCAACCTTAGGGATTGTCGAACTACAGTTGTACCTACTTGTCGAACTTGAGTATGTGCACCGAATTTACCGTGGTAAAAAACATCTTCACACCGTGAAATGTGCAAAAACTACAAAAGGTTCGCCTTTTAGTCTATCAATAATTTAAGGAGGCTTTGCCGAGACAAATTAAAATATACCCAACTACCATCTGTAGCCTATTTTCTAATAATAGAACAATCTTCAGCTAACATGGCAATTAGAATGTTACGGGAGTGTGCAAAATAAGAATTATTCCCTGTCAACTTTACCCTTAAAGTTAACCTGATTCCTGACCAATGTTACTTCCTCAAACAATTAACACCATTAACAATTAACAACTGAGCTTCTATACTTGATATTCAAATGAAGCGGTAAGTAAAAATTGATAATATAACTAAATAATTTCCTAAAGTTTGGGAGCATCTCTTGACATATACAGTCGTAGATCTCAACCCAGCTTTTTCACAATATAATATGTCCCTAGAGAAGACAGAAATGCTGCGTTGACTGAACGGTAATTGTCCTGAGAAGATTTCCGATAACGTCGGTAAACGAGTTGGGGCCAGAAGTCTCTCCATCAAATGCAATGAATAAGTGTCTGAATGGCAGTTCTATGCTGTGAAGGCAGCAAATACATCTTTGCAATTCCCGTCCAAGATTCTTCTCCAAGAGGGCTATAATCCCATTGTGACCGGTGATGTCACAAGATCTAATTGGCGGTGTGTCGATCCCCACCTCCTTACAATGCGTTCAAGGTGGCAGCAGCTGAAAGTGGAAAACTGAGCAAACATTTGAAATAGTTTTTTAGAGTTAAGTAGAATTTTTACGAGCAATTTTACAGATTATTTTGATTTAATTGACTTTAATGTTGATGAAAAACTTACCGGTTCCATTCTCCGTGGCTGCAAATCCAAGGTAACGACCAGATGGCTGCGTTACAAGGGTCGTGTTTCTCAGTAACCTTCTGTCTAATCTTGTGTTGATCCAAAGCTAACGTCTGTTCATCCAGCTCGGCCTTTTTCTGTTAAGGTTCATAAAATTGGTCCTCTGACTGTCTTTATTGGCTCTATCTTTGGATTTCTTCAGTCTCCTGAAATATATTAAGCCACATTAGATGATACGTAAAGAATTGTTTAAGCATACCCAAAAGGATTTCTTTTATATTAATAGCTTAATAAAAATCCAACATTAAGATGTATTTGAAAAGTAACTTTAAAGGACATGCAGAGCGACCAATATCGACTAAATCAATGCTTGGTAGCACAAACCGGAGGTTAGAAATGAATACTTGACCACATGGTTGTTGCATGGGTCACTTGCAACATATATCACATACCTTGGTTTTACATTTCCTTTTCAATAACTAAATCAGAGCGACCTCCAATCTCCATAGATTTTCAAACGCATGGTCCGACCATATCGACGAGAATTTTCAAATGATTTCGGCATTTCAATTCCGGCCGCGGTTGCTGAGTTTCTGAAAAATAAATCATTATAAAACATTATTGGGATTTAATATTGTCTGAAATATTCGAATTTTCGAATGTTGACGACGGACTTATCGAATGAATAGTTACATAATGCCATCTGCAAAATTACAGGTCTCAAAATATTGAACACGTGTGTAACGGCGTTACGGCACTTTTGTCCCCCTCTATTATTCCTAGTATATCTATAATATTAGAGCTATTCTCAATTCTGGTGTATCTGAACAGTGAACAACGTTAGAGCTACTAAAGTCTGGTGTATCGTAACAATATAAATACTAGTGAAGTATGGTGTATCTTAACAATATAAGAACTAGTGACGTCTACGTCTGTAGACTATCGTCCTGACGCGGACGATACAGGGGGAGCCGCGCACTTTGTGCGCGGCGGGTCATACAACGTATGACAACGATTTAGTAGGAGCGTGTTTTTTAGCTCGTATTTCGGCTTACTGGGCGGCGCTCAGCCTTCACATAGCCATGTGCCTACGCGTACTGCGTGACGCGCTTGTTTCACAAGTAGGATCTTTTGCCGCCTACGGCGGTCGCGCGCTACTGCAAGCGAGAGGGCTCTGGTTAGAGCAACGCTCAGCCTGTCATTCCGTCGAATCTTTATTCGGGCTGATATGAGTGAATTACGACCTCCATCGCCTTGGAAAAAAGTGCGAATGCTCATTGGATGTTAGAGCGCACGTGACTCGCATTCACGTGCCCAGGAAACCCTACCGGCTGGGGTATATCTCCAAAAGTAAAATAGATAGAACCTTCCGGTTTTCAACAAAATTTCCGTCTCGTAAATTTAAAGTTAGCTCCCCAGGAGCCAAATTTGAGACAACGTAGATTCTGAATTAAACCGAAAAGTTTGATTTTGGGCTAAATAAAAGATCACAGCTTTTAAACTTTGCAAAGAAATGTCGTTGTCATGACTACTAGGCTCAATGCAGCGTGCGAAAGGTAAACTTGACGTGACGCGCGACGCCAAACGTGCTGTTGAGAATCTATAACCTCTAGCAAGCCCAGCAGCCGGTAAGGTTTTCTGGGTGATCGGTCAGAACCAATTACAGCCGCGCAACAGATCGCGTGCACGCCAACTACCAATAAGAAAGAAGGAGTGACGTTTGCGCTACAAGAGCCGCGCGCTCAGTTAGATTGTAAAATCTGATTATTTGATTGTAAAATCGCATAAACGCGCCTATTTGCGCGTATTATAGGGTTCAATTACGCCAGGCTATGTTTATGAACATAATAGCCTGGGGTCCTCAGGTAAATTTCGGCCAGCACTTTATTTCGGAAATAATCAAAAAGTTATAATACTTCCCATTTAACAATTTTGTTGAAATTTGGACAGCTTACGCATTACGTAAACACTTATGTTTTACTAAACCTAAATTAGTTTGAGCAATTTCGATGGTCAGAATTTGTAGTTATCAACGAATTTATTGTCATACGTTGTATGACCCGCCGCGCACGAAGTGCCCGGCTCCCCCTGTATCGTCAGGACGATAAAGGGTGAAACGACCGTGGGGGTCGCAACGTGATACGACAAAAAATCAACGAATTTCGTCAAATTACGCGACTTTTACACCTAATTTTGCTTGCTAAAGCCGCGCACCATCAAATATGGCACCTAGGCGAAACTCACTGATCATTCCAAAAAGGTATGACAAATTTGGTACTGTTCTAGAAAACAATGGCACAAAAATTTTGAAAATCCGAGCAAATTTATTTTAATCGTGCACCCCCTAGGTTAAGACTAAGTGAACGTACATTTCATCTAACTATGTCTATGTCTAATGGGTCTACGCGTGAAGTACTCAAGTAGTTATACGACTACGCGTAGTATACTACCATATTTACTAACCCGCGACGTGGTAATCACCAATATTATAATATAACTGACAATGGTCCAATCGCCAATGTTGACGTTGATCCAAAATTGGCAACAATGTCAAGTGTACGGCAGTTTAAGGTTTTAGGAACAATATTTAAAAATAAAACTCCTCTCCTTCATGTTTTGTCGGAAAAGATAAAATCGCCATAAAATTGGCAAACCTCGTCCTACATTCTTACATTCTTCACAAAAATACGCGTTCATATCCTCAAAACCAATAGATAAAGACATGGACGATGTAAGTCAGCTAGTATGTATTTTACAAAAATGCTCTTGACCGCATCAGATGTAGCCTCACAACCATAAACCTCGTATAAACGGGCGGTTGCCGTCGGGGGCTGGCTGTCTACTGTCAAGTATAAAATAACGTCATTACCGTATGAAATTTTTACAGCAGCTTGAATATTAGGTTGCATAATTTGGAGGACCGAGGACGGCATATAGAAACTCCACGATGTAGTTTCAGTCCAGGATCTCAAAAAATTGAATTTAAATGTTCTGCATCATAATTCTGAAAGCTGAGTCTAGTTTAAATGTTCTGCAATGTAATTTTGAAGCTCAGCCTTGTTCACGATTATACTCATACGACATACAGCCGCCATCGAAAGAATCTTGCATTTGCGAATCACATAGAAATCAAAACTTATTACTTCTTATACAAGATTTTACCAAAAAATGTCGATCACTTACAACGTATTCCTAAAAAAATATAGAACTCTTAATCTAGAAATATTTTATATTTTCTACAATACAACACACTGAACCTTGAATTCAGTTATTAATTCAATGAAACTTTTACTTTTCATACAAGATCGCAAAACTTATAATAGTCATCAAATCAAACTATTCCTAGATTTTCATAATGATTCAATCTCCAAAATCTGTCACTCATAATAATTAGCTATCTGATTTAAAATTATAAGAAGTTCTCTTAGTGCTTGCAGACATTATTACAATAACCTAACCCGTTCTATGGGAATAACACTGTATCTGGATCCAAGCTCTTCCAATCAAGACTTCCAACGTGGTACATACAAAATGAAAATCTCGAAAATCTCAAAGGGGACAGTCTTCACCCAGATTTCTAAGTCCAATTTTCCGAAATAATGCTTGATTTGACCAAAAGAAGGAGCATTTTATTCTGTGGTGTATAAATCTCTGACTAAATGTAACGTGACGAACATTATTGTAAAGTTCAGCTCTCGACATCTAGCTTGGTCGTTGTCTTTCGTAGAAAAGAACATACGCTTCCGAGGAGACGATGTCTGATCTCGATATACTTGACACCCTGCAAAAAAGGAAAACATTGGTTGATTTTGTAAAAGTTGCAGGTCAGTAACATTTCAAGTTAAAATTAGCATAACCAACGAAATTAGCGTTAGTAATCAGTTATGTCCGGCAAAACCTAGTCACAACAGCCACTGAGCCACAGTATGTCAAATTATGGAGAGATTACGTATCAACAAATCATCAATTTAAATAAAAACAATAACAGATAAGTTTATAAATTATTTAATAAACAAATGTGTACTCACGATGAATCACTGAACCGGTGCCACCGACTGCCAACTTTGCAGTACGCGATATAATGCCCACTAAAGGTGTTCCCACTGTGATTAGACACTCCAACCAGATCGTATTTTGGGGTGCAAGCTGCGGATAAAGTTACTGTGTTATTGTGTAAACAGTAAATAAGCCGTTTTCTGACAAAATTGGTATAGCGGCCACTCAAAAATCAAATGGTTTTAAGCACTTTTGTCACATTTTTACCAACTTCGCCATCTTAGGGGACTCAAAAAGAGGTTTCTGTGGCCGAGGATTGGTTTTAATGGTTTTCAGGGATAGTTCTTGAGCCTAGAAATAAATTTGGATAAAATAATTCATAATTTCTTTCAGCACATTAGTCAGAAAACCGCATAGTGTACTCTGTATACGTGTTGTGCACCATTCAAGTAAAATGAATAGTTTATAACGGAATTAATATATATTATTATGGCGGGAAAGGTTTTAACAATAGAGTTGGCAAGTAAGATTTCCGGTTTGAATAATTCTCTAATATCAATGTTAAGATATCTTGTAAAAATCACGTACAATGTGAATGGGACGACAAGTCGGACAGATCGAGGTTTTCTATTGGGAAGTCCACTTTTGTAGACAGCTTTGTTCTGTACCGAACCTCGGAGAAGCGCTTGAGATGCAACACTAATATTGGCGGAAACCTGGAAAATCGTACGTCATAAATTCCACGGAAAGTTATATTCATGAAACTCAACATCTGAATATTTTGGATCGACTTGATTTGCGATTTTAAAATGAGACAAAATTGTGGGATAGTCAACAATATGATACAAAATATGATACCTTTCTATTGAAAACTGTTTGGTGCATTTCTGCCTCTTTTTGCAGTTTTCGCACGTCGGCTTCTCGTCTCCGTCTAGAATTTCCTCCTGATAAATTTATATTTTACCATCAGAAATTTATGTTTACCTTACTCGGGAATATTATAACCGGGATAAAGTGGTGGGTTTTGGAAGATTCTGCCATATTTTTCCCGGTCAAAAATTTTACCAGTCATAAAAAAACCCGCCGACTCAGATTATGGGGTTCCAAGGGGGTGGTGATCATCATATTTTACCTGAAGTCTCATATGTGCTAGAGAAGACTTTTGAAGCAGTGGATGGAGGGCTGTAACTTTATTGGCGGTTGCTACCATAATTTCGTTATAAAAATCACAATTTGGTTATAGAAATCAGATTTCAGGGTGGACCGTGATTCTCACTTCTCTTGCCCATGAATCAGTGAATTGTAGAGAAGAAAACAATTTATATGTTATAGAAGAAAACGAAAATAATAATAATATATAATATATACTATAATAATAATGTCTCTAAAGATTGATCGCTTCTCGTGTGCAGTGTGTAGACTAAAGAAAGAGGGAGTTTTTCCCGTTAAAGTAACTTTTAGCCACATCCCGCTAGAAGTGAGTAAACTGTGCCACTATTTCATGGTCCACGGTGGATTGATTACTGGAGCAGTTGAAGATGCAAAGCCAAGACGTTCCCCAAAACCAAGCGGTGGTATGAAAGTCTTGTTAAGACAACAATACAACTTCGAATTTGACGGTCAGCAGCTCAGGAGGATATCAATAATGATAATGGCGGGGACATTAGCGATAATGAGAATGAGAATAAGCTTTAATGAGTTTTGACTTATTATTGCTTAGATTTATTTTCCTTTAAATAGACGTGTCTTTTTTTCTATTTCTGAGTAATATCAATAACTGTAAATTGAAATAACTTCTTTAACAAGTAACAAAAACAGAAATTTCGGTTGAAAATTTGTTGACCTCTGAAAAAAAACTTGAAAGGTCGGCCACCGGTAAATACATGACCGGGATAATTTGGCGGGTTTTGGGAAAGTCCGCCATATTTTTCCCGGTCATTAATTTTCCCAGTCATAAATTAACCCGCTATAATATTCCCGAGTAAGGTAGTCAAGAATGAGACGGTTCATGATACAAATTTCATATACAATTTGTGGTAATACTCCCCCCCAATACTTATACTGAAACATGCAATAAAAACAGCGATAAATCTTGTGGACTAGGCGCAACAATACATACCTGTGTAAATTCTGCAAAACAAGACAGTAGGTTAAGCCCAGAACTCTTGGACCGGGGCAGAGGCAGCGAAAGGTCCCAAAATGGGTCGAAAGTGACAGATTTGTGATCACAGACACTGCAGGTCAGAGTGCTTTTGAGTAAACCCACGAATATGTCCACAATAGTACTGTTATCGTATGATGTGTACCCATTCCACCGATGTTCGGCCAGCTGAAGGTCTCTGAAATTAATGGATTTTAATTTACCAAACTTAGTCTGTTCATGACGTCAAATTTACGTCGTGACAACGCGCCGCGCGTCGTTGTCATTGGTAACGGACGAAATTTAAAAGTATTTTACATATCAGATTATTGTCCGCGTGTGCGCTTTTAGAACTTCGATATTTTGTTTCATAGTAAGGGGAAAAGTGGTCGATTTAAGGGTTCCGTTGGATTTGAATGTTCACAAGGATTTCTCAACGGAATATGGTAGTTAGGACCCCTACGAACATAATTAGACTTGTTGCCAATTTTGTATCTCAACAGAAACACCACTTTTACCACTTTTTACCACCTTTGTACCACCTGTCTGGTTTGCCAAATATCTTTAGTTGTGAACGTCGTAAAAGGCTGCAAATTAACCTAGAATGTTTATCTTATCAAGGAGTAAAACTTTTGTGTGAAAAATTTTTACATTGGACAATCAGCTAATTGGATAATTACCAATTAGTTAATCACCAAAAAAAGTGAAAATTTTTTATTGGCTCAAAATGATTGAAATCGTTTGAAACACGGAGAAATGTAGTTTTTAGAAAAACTTCAAAAATTTTTCACTTAAAAATTTTTCACTTAAAAATTTTTTTCGAGACTTGGAAAAAAGTTTGAAAATTTAAAAATATTTTTTTCCGCCAAAAGTGATCGAATTGCATGAAACGTGGATAAAAATGCTTTGCAGAAAAACTTCGAAGATTTTGAGATAGGGGAATACTAAAATCATCAATATTTGAAGTTGGAGTTCAGTAAATCTCGACATATTTTAGTAATTAGGAATAGCTTAGCGGAAAGGGCTGAACCTGAAAAAGGTTAACCACACAATATTAGAGTTTCATAACTAATTACAATACAGCTTTATCAAATTCCACATAAAGAAACAGCACAAAAGGACCATTTAAGATCGAACCGATTTTACCTGCTGTACTATCATTTTATTGATTTCAATGATCAAAACCTCTGTACCGTCAATCTTGCCAATCTATACCGGGTATCTGAATGTACCGGACCTCTTATTTACCTCTATAATTAGACCCAGTTGTGCAAGAAATGCGATTTCTCACAGGGGTTTCTTTTAACTGTGCACTTTTTGTCACTCTCGCAACTCGCAAGAGGCCCGGTATTATAGGGGGGTATAGGAAGCGAGTGTAAATATACCTTCCATCATCCACTGTGTCCTGATAGATCCAGTGAAGAGCGAGTAGCGAAGAGTTTGATCACTAACCTAAAGCTCTAAAGAAGAAGAGGGCTAAAGAGACTCACTTTGATCAATCAATCTAAAAAGGGTGGGTCAGTCTCTCTGTTTTCATCAGATTCTGATGAAAGGCTGTTAAGCTCAGGACGGTGATCTTAATAGGTCGGATAGCTGTACCTGGTTGCTTCCAGCCCACCCTTGTCGCTTGAAAATAAGTTCTCACCCCACCTCTTCCAAAAATGCAGTTACCAGAGCAGGAAACTCTTCTTCCTACTCTTCTTTCAACCCAAACAAAATCAGGTTCCAGCTCCTCTCCTCCTCTGCAGCCACAATCTTATCTCCTTCTTCGGCGTTTTACTGTTGCATACTGTATCACTTGCACTGTTCTTTTGCACTTGCAGTACTCCTGCACTGTAGCTCTGTGTCCCTGACTACACCGTGGTTTACACTGCCCCTCAACTGCAATCTTAAGTAACTTTAGTTCCGGCACTCTTTGGCCATTAAAATAACCAACTCCAATGAAACCCCGTGTAGCTACGTTCTGCTACATCCATGCTAGCACCACCCAGCTACCACCAGTTTACTCTAAATCTAGCTATTTCTAGCAACTTTTCAATGCTATCTCCAGCTCTATCCCGACCCTGGCAATGACATATGGGGGTTATTCGAGGTATCTGGCATAGCAAACGAAGCGGCATGCGCATTCACAATACAAAAAAGCCACAGTGGATGATGGAAGGTATATTTACACTCGCTTCCTATACCCCCCTATAATACCGGGCCTCTTGCGAGTTGCGAGAGTGACAAAAAGTGCACAGTTAAAAGAAACCCCTGTGAGAAATCGCATTTCTTGCACAACTGGGTCTAATTATAGAGGTAAATAAGAGGTCCGGTACATTCAGATACCCGGTATAGATTGGCAAGATTGACGGTACAGAGGTTTTGATCATTGAAATCAATAAAATGATAGTACAGCAGGTAAAATCGGTTCGATCTTAAATGGTCCTTTTGTGCTGTTTCTTTATGTGGAATTTGATAAAGCTGTATTGTAATTAGTTATGAAACTCTAATATTGTGTGGTTAACCTTTTTCAGGTTCAGCCCTTTCCGCTAAGCTATTCCTAATTACTAAAATATGTCGAGATTTACTGAACTCCAACTTCAAATATTGATGATTTTAGTATTCCCCTATCTCAAAATCTTCGAAGTTTTTCTGCAAAGCATTTTTATCCACGTTTCATGCAATTCGATCACTTTTGGCGGAAAAAAATATTTTTAAATTTTCAAACTTTTTTCCAAGTCTCGAAAAAAATTTTTAAGTGAAAAATTTTTAAGTGAAAAATTTTTGAAGTTTTTCTAAAAACTACATTTCTCCGTGTTTCAAACGATTTCAATCATTTTGAGCCAATAAAAAATTTTCACTTTTTTTGGTGATTAACTAATTGGTAATTATCCAATTAGCTGATTGTCCAATGTAAAAATTTTTCACACAAAAGTTTTACTCCTTGATAAGATAAACATTCTAGGTTAATTTGCAGCCTTTTACGACGTTCACAACTAAAGATATTTGGCAAACCAGACAGGTGGTACAAAGGTGGTAAAAAGTGGTAAAAGTGGTGTTTCTGTTGAGATACAAAATTGGCAACAAGTCTAATTATGTTCGTAGGGGTCTTAACTACCATATTCCGTTGAGAAATCCTTGTGAACATTCAAATCCAACGGAATGCCACTTTTCCCCTTACTATCAAGTTAATTTTCACAATTAACAATTCTATTATTATAAACTTATTATTATTATATTCGGAGTGCCACATATGGCAAAATTTAAAGGCTTGCACAAATCCTAACATACTTCATTCATTAAGCCTTAATTGAAAATTTGGCTCGGATAATTTAAAAATCAAATTTTCGATGTCTCTACAGTGCAGTCTACACGTGTTAAGCCCCTACAATAATTCATCACTCACGTATATCCTTTGGGGGGCTCTTCTATCTTTCTTTTTCCCTTCTTCCCTGTGTTCAGATCCTCGTGAAGACCCTCCATGAAGAAACGAAGGAATTCTTGAGAATCCTGCTGACTGAAACAGCGGCCAAGTTTAAAACTTCTGGTCACATACTCAGATTGTCTCATCATGACAAATACAGATAATAAGAAGCAATTTTTAAACAGTGACAATGAGCTATTCTTACATTTCTCTCGTTATGAATGATGGCTGTACAATTTAAATTGCGTGTCTGAATTGAGGTGCATGTAATTTAGCAAGTTGAGCGGGTGCCAATTATTGTACAATGTACAAAGGTACGTCTTACAGAATACGATGTATAATGTGCTATATGTAGGGTGGTAAAAAGGGTAATGAAGACTGGAACAATAATAGAAAAGATAAGGAGTGTTACTATAAGTTACAATTAAGTGGTTATTATAAGAAATGTAACACGCTGATATCATCTCATGACTCGACAGTGTGGATATAGAATAGAGTACAATTTACAGTATTTAATGTATAGGATACATCTTATGTATAGTGTAGATACAATAACGGTGTATAACTGATTGTCGGTGAATTTTTCAGGAAATCTGAAGTTATCTCACTCAGGAAAGGAAGTTTGACGTCAAGTGGTGGTAAACTGTAAAGTGGTGGTCAAGTGGTGGTAAAGTGGTGGTAAAGTGGTCAGTTTGTTTATTCAGCGTCATTTTCAGATAACGAATTAAAACTTCCCAATTCCCATGTAAGTTTCATGTCATGTTCTGCCGTTAGTTATCTTATCTTAACCACTGTATTTTCAGTTACTGAACAGAATCAAGTGTTGACGTCAAATAAGGGTAATTTTTATGGGAGGGGCCACTGCTTATCAGGGTGTAAATTATACATTCTACAAATTGTTTAATGATGAGGCATTTTTGCAGACCACAATATGAAATTACCAGGTCATGGTTATTCTTACTCATAATAAATTATTTTGAGTAAGAATAGTGCACTTTTAAAACCAAACATCACACTCATTACCCTTTATTTAACTACACTCCTCATTAAAAGTTCTCTCTAACTCTCTTAATAATTGCGAGCCTGAAAACGCCGCCTCCCTACCAAGAGTCTCTGTTTAAAGCAGTGACATTAGCCGCGTTGTTAAAAATAGCTTACACTTATAACATTCATGTACTATCTGTGACTAAAGTCAATACAGTAGTGTATACAGGCTTATATTATCGTGTACAGTGTACAATCCAATACTTGGCTAATGAAATGTTGATATATTTACATGTTTAGATTACATTTGCTACCACGCTACACACGCTACACACGCACCCTCCCATCCACCCTGGATCATATAGAATGATCCATGGTCTCTTAAGAATGAAATATAATTACCACATACAATCTCCATCACCACGCGACAGCAGAGAATGAGTAGAGAATAAGGCATATTAATATAATAGCAAATTAATATAACAGCATATCACGTGATCACCATGGCTACTATCATGTACGTGGTATACATCACATAATACATAGCATAATTGCTTAGAAATAGCATACAATAGTCACCTACATGTTGATTTAACTAGAGATGTATTATGCGATGTGTGGGAAGGCATCACTCATTCCCCCAACACGCTCCAGGAAACAAGAATGTGTGGTATTGTGCCGGAATGAGTGGTATTGTGCCGGAATGAGTGGTATTGTGCCGGAATGTGTGGTATTGTGCCAGAAGCAGCGCATAAAATGTGGAAGCTCCATCAGAGACAAATGGAATTAGGCCGACAATTTGGTGAATAGTCACAGAAGACATGCAGGAAGTTGTAGCGCCGTGTTTTACAGACAACAAGTAATACCAGGTGGGGAATGTGTGCAGTGGTGATGTATCATGTAACGCGTGACGTCACGCTATTGATCATGTGACGTCACGTTATTGAAGTGCATACCTGTAGCCAACAAAGCGGGGAGCTGATTTTGCGACAGCGGATTTGAACTTGTTCGGTGAAACTGTATCGTGTCTTCCCGACCACATGTCATTTAACAGGCTCGCAAACTCTGTAATTAATTATATAATTAGATAATTAATTATGTGATTATGTAATTATATAGGACAGTATGGTAGGGTTAAGGGCCAAGGATCAGCAGTAATCATATAAATATAACATATCCGCCAACAGTGGATATCCAATGTACAAAATGTACATATTGAAACGTGATAAACTTTGAGCAGGAGTATATCACAAAATATAGACTACTGCGAGTGAAACTCCAGGGAAACTATCTCCAGACCCATTTATAAGTGGACAATTTTACGTAGTTAATAAGTTTCGGAAGGCAAACTCTTAAACTCTATAAGTAATTAATTGGTCTGGGTTTGGCTGTTAAGAATTTCATGTTGCACTGTAGTTCCACAGCCAACTTAAAAGTTCATTTTTACCAATCGGGAGGGGACTTCGAACGATATATTATATGTAATAGTACATATCATTTATAAATAAAATTACATATTTGGCATATTATTATACTGCTCAATGGCCATTGAGATTATAACAGATTATTATGATTGATCTAATCGTAAAAACGATTGAAAAAAACATAAAAAACCAGTGAGAGCACAAAAACAAGTTAGTTACAAAATCTAAAATTTCCAACTAACCTTCAGCAAGGCGACCCTGCATTTTACTGGTGTTACTCAAATCCATCTTATATTTCTTGGACAGGAAGTATTCCCGGACCAGGGCAGAATGTGACAGACACTGCAGGATACTGTTCATGAAGCAAGTATTTCCCAGATTCTTCAGACCAACCAAACCGTTACCCTGAAATAAGCAGTATGTCAAAAACGATTCATGTACTCTAGTTCGCACTATAGACAACTAGACCTCATTGGATACAGCAGAAGATATGTGAGAATGTACTCTATTTCGACAGTCGAAGTTTTCTTGTCGAACTTTAGTACGTGTCGTCCTTGAGTCCAGGTAGCGCACTTAGGTTCGACAGAGTCGAACCTTAAGGTTTCTCGAACTACAGCTACAAACTACAGTACGTGTCGAACTAGAGTGCGTGTCGAACTTAAGTACGTGTACCATCAAAAACAATGGTTGGTGTTTAAAGTTTTGTCTGTAGCTTGACAGGTTTCTTACATATTAAGGAATGCAGTTTGTGAATTCTATGGTTATATATTTTAGGTTCCACGTGAAGAATTTAGATAATTTAGAATATATTGAATGCAACATTGCTATGCATAAACAAAATTGAGGTTACGAAACTCTCTTTATATGGTTTAAAGTTAACAAGAATTTTTCTGTTTACAGAAAATCCCTCCTATACACAAATTTGTGTGGGATGATTCACAGACGCTCATTTAATAAAATTTGGCTTGAATTTAGGAGCTCTATTTTGAAGAGCAGTTGCCAAGAACAGGACTCTGACGTCACGTTAATTATCCTGTACGTGAGGCCAGTTCAATTAAGTGATTAAGTTTAAATTAATGTCTTCTGGCCAAGTTTAGGGTTGGACTTTATTATAATTTGTTTGACTAGGTAAACAGTAAACAGTATGGATGATACTGTGTTGTGTGTGAATCCAGTCTAACTTGGTCATGAATTAAATTTGTAGTACGTTTAGCAATGAATATTGAATATGTACATAGTGAGCAGTCTCAAATACTGCATAAACAGAGCTTGAGTGACTTTACGTAGGAAAAGGACTTAAAGTTGGAAATCGCGTGATGGTCCAGAATTACAGTGACCAAACAATTAGAAAAATCAGTGGTCATTGAATAACAGTGACTTAAAACATCACTAATTTTAGAATTTCACTGACTACAAAATTAATCTGACTACAAGAATATTTAGCACCCACCTGTAAAGACGACAAGCCGGATTCCCCGTCAGGTATGTCACTACAATTAGTTTTACTAGACTTAAACTGTGCCTTGAAGCTGTTCTTAAGTTTTAAAGAAGATTTTGAAGATTTCATAGCCTTTTTATCTTCCTCATCCACAACTTCCGCTATTGAATTTTCTTCCTTCTTCCCCAATTCCCCAGCAGACAAAGACCTCGGCAGTGAAATCTTGAACATATCCTTGAAAAGCCGATAATCAAAGCTGCTGCCCCTAGAGTGAGATTTCTTAGTTTTCTCCATTTTCTTCCTTTTGTTGTCTGTTCTAGAACCTTCATTGTTCTTCGCAGATCCACTCTCGAGCGAAGAGTACGAACTTGTCTCGCTACTCTTATCTCCTTTATCCTCGCTTGAATTTGTTTTTAGTTTTAACCTCCATTTAGAAGATTTCTTGTCTTTGGGAGAGCTAGAGGAAGTGACAGCTCCAGAATCTCCCCCGAGAAGCCCGTTGTTGGTCGGCTTCTCATCACCGTTCTCATGGTGGTGGTGGTGTCCGTTAGTTCCGTTAGTCATACCCCCGTTAGTAACCTTGTCAGATCGTTTTAGTAACGGACTCTGCAGCGCACTTCGCTCACAAGTTCCATTAGCTTCACTTTTCTTAGCTTTCCTCCCAAACATTGGCGACAATATAGCCTGTGCAATGAGGGCTACATTTCCCCTCTTACTACCATCTTTGTGATTATCACCAGCTAATTCAACACAGATACTGCAGTCACTGCAGTTAGAATGAACAGGAGAGGCAGGTCGAGAATTAGGCCTTGAGTTAGGCCTTGAGTTTGGTCGAGAGTTAGGCCGTGAAGAGGGTCTTGAGTTAGGAGTGAGGAGATGAGGAGACCGGGGAGAAGGGTGAGGAGAGCGGGGTGGCGACTGGATGGGAGACAGGGACCTAGCGACAGACCCTGGGCGCTCCGTACATGTCGTACTCATTCAGCCGACCCTACAGCTGTAATAATGCCATCAAGGTTATTAGATGTAAAGATACGAGCGTGATCAGTTAAAAGGTAGTAATAGTATCGTGAGAATGTTAGAATACTTGTGGGGAGATGATGATGTTAATATTCTTCCCAAAATGGCAGAATATTCTACCCATTTTGGAATAAGATACATGTCACTATTTCATCTGTCAAGCCCACACAATATATAGTACCACTTCAAAACAGTGATATGCAATTATACTGGTCTATATTATTTATATACTGTAATTAAATATGTTTAGCGGTCAATACACACAATATATGGAAACTTTGTAATAGTTTACTGCAACATAGCATGAGTCTGAGCTTAATCAAAAATTAATGCTCGCGTCACAATGCCATCAAAACGACAGTAAATCTTCACATGACAACATCGTAGCAGGGCAAGTTAAGTAGATTAAGTAGAGTAAAGAAAATAAATAAATTAGGGACCTCTGTCGGTGGGGAGACATACACACCTAGACAACTGAAATTACGTGACAGTAGACATTAGAAGAGCTTTAGTGGGGGTATTAACGTCTGGATAACCGGGAGGTTACGCACATTAAATACTGTTATATTATACTGAATATAAGTAGTGTACTTAGCGAGAGATAGTTGAAATAAGTCAGAATCTTGACCGAAAACTAAGTTTATCATTTTAAAGAAGGTTGAATGTTGAGGTTTCGGTAAATTCTATAGCTAAATAAACGTAATGCCGTGACAAAATCAATTTTTATTCATTTCTCTAGATACTTGTAACAGGAAAGGTACAAAAGTAATTGATATTTGGTATGTAAGCGATCAATGGCTATGCTCCAAAGCAATATGAGATAACCATGGTGGAATTAAAAATTCAAAAACATACACTGCATGTAAAAATTAGAGAACCAAAATTTAACCGAATCGTCATAATCAAAATAAAATTTATGTCGAGTAACATAAGTTCCAAATTGTGAGGAGTGAAATAGGATAAAAATACAGGAGAAGATCACAATTTTAAGTAACATAATACTTCCAGAAGGAAAAAAGCTGTGTTTATAATGTTAAACTTGTGATATTTATATATTTTGCCTTTAATTGTGATTAATATTTCCTAAAGTTTAACTAGCGGTATATTAAACTGAACAATGAAAACTAATAGATGCAATGTGGCCGAGAAAGTAAGTTATACAGGTTTTAAAGAAGGTTGAAGAAGGATGAAGAACGTTCGAGTAAATTTATAACGCTAATTCTAGATCGTGATGCCGTCGACGAAAATCAATTTTGTCAAATTACAACTTTCCCTTCCTCCCAGAGATATTGATACAGGAGGAGACAAAAAAGTAAGATGAATATTGGGATGTACGCGCCATCAGATGGACTATGTCTTAAAGCATATGCAGAAAAAACTGGTGAAATTTAAAGCAAATCAAAAACATACCCACTGGACATGTCCAGAACTATTACAGCAGAACCCAAAACATTTAACCGAATCGTGCACAATCAAAAATAAAGATATCTATGGAACACTCCCCCGCAGTTCAACTCTAATACTAGTCCCACACACACGAGATAGCTGCGGAGGGAGCGAGGGAAGTGACGAGCTAGATTAAATAATACAGGAGAACGATCACCACAATTTAAATATTTGTAACTTAATACTCTCGCAAAGGAAGAAAGCGTGATCTGAGAGAAGTTGTATAACCTTGTGGACTAGTCCTCCGTATTATATTTCGTGCGTTATGAAGTTACGGTGATATAATAAGGTTTCCGCATAATATCGCATTTAATTTAAATGTCGCGTTATATTTAAACTGAACAAGCTGAAAGACGCAAAATTAATTTCGGTATAACTACTATAAGGGTGTTAATTAGTAGCTCCAATGGGTGACGATATTATGTACATATATATCCTATAGGGAAATGTAAGGATGCTTTAGTGGGTGTTATCATGGCATCAAGATATGGTCTGACGTTAAAAAGTGCGACGAGGAGTTCTCATTATTTCACCTTCACTTCATTATTTCACCTTACAGATAAGGGTGGTATAATACTAAGAGCTCACCCATACCAGTAAACCAAGCAAATTACAGACATAAAATAAAGAGAGCAACAAAAATGCGACATGTAGCTAGACAGCACACACGAATGTACTGCACACGCACAATTCTCTCTCTCGCTCTCTCTCTCTCTCTCTCTCTCTCTAGTTCTCCTGCTGTAAGCTATTATTGGAGAAGTGCAGCACTTCCTGCAACACGCGCGTATGTGTGTGTGTGTGTGTGTGTGTGTGTGTGTGTGTGTGTGTGTGTGTGTGTGTGTGTGTGTGTGTGTGTGTGTGTGTGTGTGTGTGTGTGTGTGTGTGTGTGTGTGTGTGTGTGTGTGTGTGTGTGTGTGAAAGGGAAACCCCGCGCGGAGGGGGCCAGAAGTAATCAAAAGTAAGGAGGCAGGGGTTTGTTAGAAAACACACGAACCAGATTGAACGAGAAACGCAACTAAATACAGTCAGACACTACAACCAGTAGTTATTTTTAGGGTCCATCTATAACTCCGGTCTCACAAAGCTACCGGCTCCAAACTATTGTTAGCCCTCAATCTTCAGCGTATATTAGTACATACCACACAGTCTATAACAGTCTATAAGTCAAAAATAGAATAGTACTCATCATTATCAGAGACCTTATATATCGAGTCCTATTCTATTCCGGACGATGAAAATCAATAACTTTTTGCACGGATCGATATGAATTAACAGGCTTGTTTGTATTAAATGGGTGCTGTGAAGGTAACTGTTCTTGCCTTACACATTACAACTTTACATTAGAAACACAATTTCTTTCACCCTCTGATCCACCGACAATTAAATGTAATATGGTTTTAACAATTGAAAACATACACAAACTAAAAGCAGCAAGAACAAGCATATCAACACAAAACAAAATCACACTAAGAAAGCACAGTGCAGACACGCCCTAGATCAAAATGAATGCCTACACAGTACACAGATCGATCAAAACACACAGCATACCCAGTAGTCTATTGTGTGCTGTGAGTACACCACCAGCACATGTATCTAATATTACCTAGCATAAATCATAGACTACACACTAGGTATTGATTACATCTCGCATCATTCACTGCATTATGTTTGAGTTGGGGAGTGCGTGTGATAAATTGTAGTTTGATGTATGTATATTATTTAAAATTAGTGCCCGAAATTCGAAAATATTATAATCTTTACAGACAAAGGAATTTGGTTTAGGCATCAGAGAAATATAAGGAGTAAGATTCACATGACTGTAACAGAGTCACATGCTTAGTCACATGCCTAGTCACATGTGAGTCACATGCCTAGAGCCTAGTCACGTGTGACTCACATGGCTAGTAACATGTGAGTCACATGCCTAGTCACATGCCTAATTACAATGAAATGCACTAAAAGCACTACACTTAGAGGTCAGCGTTTCGTTACACCTAAAAGTAAAACTTGGAATTTTGCGAAAATTTAGTCCAGTACATAGCCACCATAGTAACCATAGTAACCATAGTAACCACATCCGTTGTAACAGTACATATAAGATCGAATCTAGTAGTTGGCTCAATTCCTAGTCCAATGTAATTGTAAATGAACCTAGATTGGGTTAGATTATTACATAAATTAGTCATATTATGTCAGCACATTTACATTGAACTAGGAATTGAGCCAAAACTAAATTCACGCACAGGTGCGTTCTTTATGTCATTACTAATTATGGTGATTAGGTGACCCAACCCAACCAACCTGAATAATGGTGATTATGGTGATGACCATGGTAATGGTTCGAGTGTAGGGAACGAATGAAAGAGATTGGAGAACAAGTACCCACGTAACAACTTCCAAAACATACATAATGTTTAATACATATAACATAAATTATACGACCATCATATTTTGACATATTATGGACAATCTGTATAATAATTCATAATTACACGGTAACTTTACCTTATATGTCTAATTACATTGTACACAGTAAAAGTGTAAAACCCTGGATTACCGCATCGCCTACTGTAAAACCCTGGATTACCGCATCGCCTACTGTAAAACCCTGAATTACCGCATCGCCTACTGTAAAACCCTGGATTACCGCATCGCCTACTGTAAAACCCTGGATTACCGCATCGCCTACTGCAAAACCCTGGATTACCGCATCGCCTACTGTAAAACCCTGGATTACTGCATCGCCTACTGTAAAACTCTGGATTCCCGCACCGCCTACTGTAAAACCCTGGATTACCGCATCACAAAGACCCGCAACCAATAAATCAACCAACAACGCAAACTAATGCTGAGGAATGCAATATACCGGAGATATATTACAAAATATGTTAAAAGTTAAGCTGTGGGTCGTGACTAGGATAAGGAAATATATTGGGTAAACAAATCAGTAACTGATACCTTATGGCCAGGGAGCGTGTGAACGAATTTCATGTTCTGGATTTATGGGGGAAGGGTTAAGGCGTGGGAGGGGGCCGGGGGGTGTCGGTGGCTTTTTTTCGCAATTTTCAAGGATAAATGTCGAATTGTAATGATCCCTTGCTACAGTTTGTGGTAATGAATTATAATAATATTAGTATTCATATAATATCATGACACAGGAATGAAGTCCCCAGTCAAGGCAGCAGTCAGAAACCAAGTCAATTACTTATCTCATACAGTATCTCATACTTTATAACCGTTTTAAGAGTGTTCAGATTTTTAAAGGAATTTTGGGTTTTACTAACTTTTTACAATTTTTAGGGCTTATGTCACTGAAGATGACGCCTTGCAACATGTTTGACGATAGCCTGTAGTAGATTGATAGTTTGATCTCAGTATTTACAACAATTCATCTAGTTTGATTGATTCAAAGGGAAACAAATTCCTCTGTATCTCATATTCATCTCATCCCAACAATCTGCAGTACACAATACATCTTTACAGCACAGATAACAGCAAAAACAACATGACAGTATGTGTGCAGCGACCTGAACAT